TGGTAGCCCAGACTGGCCTCGAACTCACAGAGATCCACCTGGCTCTGCCTCCCGAGTGCTGGGATTAAAGGCGTGCGCCACCACCGCCCGGCCTGGGTTAACAGTATTTTTATAATTTTATAATTATTGGTTTTCTTTCTTTCTTTCTCTCTCTTTTTTTGTTTTTTCGAGACAGGGTTTTCTCTTGTGTAGCTTTGGAGCCTTTCCTGGAACTCACTCTGTAGCCCAGGCTGGCCTATTTATCTTTTATATAACTATAGAGTAGCTTAAATTTTCTTTTTAATATATATTTTTTTAATTTTGAGTAATGAACACACCGAGTATAGACATTTCTAGGTGACAATTTACAGTAAAACTAGAACCCCAAGTGAGGCTTCTCTTATTATTCAACATGTCTCAGCTACTATGCACCTACCACTGAATAACTCGTGTGTGGAGACATAATGTGGATAATGGCATATAGTACATTATAAAGTGGTTTGAGAGTACTAATAAAAATATTACTCAAATTTCACTTCTCTCCCTTCGGTAGTTCCCAGCCATATAGAGCTCTGCTTGTACATTAACTAAATTGAGCAGAAGAGCCTTGTTAAATGCTCTTCGGTTCACTGAAGTGAGTAAACGGACGGCTGTGTAAAAGCCTAATCTCACTGGCACCAGGACACCTTCCAAAGAAACAGGGAACCCGCTTATAGGACTTCTAAAAAACTGGGAAAATACTTTTCCCCAGAAACATACATTTCCTAAAAATAGGAATATATTTAAATGAGAAGTATGGGGATAGATTTTAATTTTCACATTCAGGTATTTAAGAATACCATATTATGACTTATACTGATTTTAAATCATACATGTCTTTTAAAGAAAAGACATTCTTTGAAAATATGCATTTAAATTTAAATAGCTTTCACATTCAGTATTTCATTTATGCTTTTCAACAACACACTAAAGGTAGCTATTTTGATGTTAATTTTTGAGATGAAAAACTATGGTTCTGAGACATGAAGGGAAAGAGTGTGAGTTCAATTCTGTCTACTCCACCACAGCACTAAGATGTGACAATGACCAGGCATCCCACTGTGTGTCGAATCCTGCCTAGCATCCGTCTAGGTTGTCCAGACTGGTCTGTCTTCTGTTTGCATAAATAACAAGTAAGAACAAAAACTGAAAATGGTTTCCAGATTTCCTAAATACGTGTAGGAATGGAGAAGAAGAAAAGGCAATACTGTCTCTATTTCTGCCAGCAGCACAATTCTGATGATGGGTGACTATTTAAAATCCCACTTAGTTTGGAACCCAGTGATAGAATAAGAAAAGCAGTAACACAGGGCAGGCACTTTTAGACGCTCACGTTGATGCTTCATTCTGTCCTACTGCTTTTTACTGGATAACTTCAGACTAGTGACCTTTCTCTTCTAACTATGAGTCTAGGTTTAAAATAATGGTTGTCAATAAGGTAGAGAAGTAAAGACTTTGAGAAATAGAGTGATGGTTTTAGCCAAAGCTTCTCTGTCACAAGTCTTTGCCTGCTGTTAGTATTCTATTTCAGGCATCATAACGCACCCATCAAATCAATCAGCTTGAACAGAGAAAGACAATCAAAGGTTTCCTGTCTCTTACCTGCATACATATGGTATGTGAGCCTCTCGATCAGCTTAATCACAGTCCCTGCTTTGATAATTGGAATCCCAGCCTTGGGCAGCATGTTCTCCTCAAACAGAATATTCTCCTCAGAGTCTGGTTCTGCAAACCTGTACACATCAGCACTAGGCAGCCTCATCTGCTCCTCCTTCTCTTCCTGCAGCATGGTCACATCGAGCATTCGCTCCAGGGTACTCCGGTACTGCAAAGATATCAGGGCTGCCATCCAGTTGTTTTTCTCTTCAGCCGACTTGGCAGAAAATATAACACTATTTCCATCTTTCAGAATTATTTCAAAAGCATGTTTATATTCACTGGTGTCATCTTTATCATTAATTTGTACCTTTCGCATAAAAAACTTTTCTTTAAGACGATATTCTGCATTGCTAGCACCAGGAAGTCTTGGCTGCCCGTGATTTGATTTACAGCAAATCATTAAGCCATCGAAGAGAAATATGTGTCTCTCGTGTTTGGCTCCTACACGTGTAAGAGTTCCTTCCATTATGAACTCATTGCAACACTGTCCAATGTCTTTCCCCTCCCAACCATCGATATTCTTCTGAATCTCGTTCATTTTCTTGATTGCTAGTTGCTTTCCCTTCATTTGCTGGCTATAAAATCGACATGCAGACTCACTGGGTGAAGGAAGAGACACTATTAGTACACAGAGACAGAATCTACAGTTCACGCAGGTAGGGTGGCGGGGTAAAACAACTTAAAACATCGCTGACACGGGGCTTGCTAACTCCTAAATATAACATATGTAATCACACAACTCGGGAATGACAAGAGCACAGAAACTTTCCTCACAGTTATAAAAATAACAGTGATATCCAACTATATAAATACAGGTACAAAATGATTATTTCTGCCTGAGTACTAAATACTTAGAAAGACAGATATCAAAAAGTAGCCCAATACAGTTAAAAAAAAATAGATGAAAGTAAATTGTAAGTATTTTTAAAGGAACAAGACGGAAAGGTAAGAGCATACAGCACATTATAAATAAGAAAGCAGAAGACCTGCTACCTGAATTAATGTCCCGAGTTACACAGTCCCTAACTAAACTAGCCAACACCTTCTAGTCTGACTGACCTAACAGTGACGCTGGGGTGCATCTACCGTCAACCTTGCTCTGTCGCCTTCGGCTCACCAGCTGCTCCTCAGGAGCTCTTGTCTGGGAGTATGTGGGGAAAATGCACAAATATGAAAGGTTTTTCAAACAATAACAAATTCTCCTGGCTTTGATGTCACTTCCTGTGAAAGAGCAAGCCTGTCACTCACACCGTTTTCTCCATTGTTTACTTGAGGAGGGAGCTAAGGCCCTGATTTATACCACAGCCTCCTCAGGACAGAGAGGAAGAGGGTTAAAGGGGAAATACTCACCTCAGTCTTCGCTTGGCCAGACTCTTGGAGCATATTTTTTCCAAGCCACTCTGGACGTTCAGCAGAGCTGTGATAGCTTGTTTCACACATTCCTTATCGTCTTCGTCCTCACTCTTTTCTTCCAACTGCTGCCAAGTCCAAAGGCAAAACAATGACCTCGCTTTATTTAAGGGTAAAATTCACATTCGTTCAGCTTTCTCTACTTGAGTATTGAAATGTTCTATAAACACATCTTTTTAGATTTTATGTGCATGAATGTTTTGCCTGCATATATGAACATGTACTACATGCGTGCTTCATGCCCATGAAGGTCAGAAGAAAATGTCAGATGCCTAGTACTGAAGTGGCAGGTGGTAGTAGCCCACTATGTGGGTGCTGGGAGCTGAGAGCTGAACCTGCATCCTCTGCAAGAGCAACAAGTAGGTGTTCCTAACAATGGAGCCGTCTCCCCAGCCTCTAACTTCATTCCTGAAGTATTTTCTGGGCTGTGGATATAGCTGGCAATGTGTTTACCTAGCACACATGAAGTCCCAAGTTCTATTCTCTGACATCACATAAAGCAGATATGGTAGCAGATGTCTGTAAGCCTAGTACTTAGCAGGCACAGGCAGCCTCAGATACCCAAGACTGTCCCTGAAGAAAAAAGCAGTTCTCGCTGTTTCTACAAGGTTTGGTAGCACATGCATGTAATTCTCGCACTTGGGAGTCTGAGGTCAGTCTGAGCTCCAGACCCAGAATGTGTCTCATTACTATCTGTTACCAGGTTCTTGGTTCTTTCTCGGTGTGAAAGAACATGTATGCACTCGGCACTCACAGTCCTGAAAAGAAACAGCACAGAACTGCTTCTGACGCCATAGGACTTAGCATGGCACCAAGCACAGAGATATCCACACCCTCCACCCTCCAGACAGGGTTTCTCTGTGTAACAGCTCTGGCTGTCCTGGAACTCACTCTGTAGACCAGGCTGGCCTAGAACTCACAGATATCTGCCTGGCTCTGCCTCCCAGGTTCTGGGATTAAAGGCATGCGCCATCACTACCTGGCTCACAGAGATAGTCTTAAGTGTAGAATAAAAAAATAAAGTTCAAGGCTGGCAAGATCACTTAGCAAGTCAAGCTGCTGCCAAGCCTGATGACCTCAGTTCAATCTCAAGGACCCACACAGTAGGAGGAGAAGACTGACTCCCTTAGGTTGTTCTCTGATCTCCAAAAACATGTGCCCCCATCCCTCTGCTCATCCCCCTACAGAAATAAATGAATACATGTACAAAAACAGTCCTTAACATTGTAAAGAGACATTCAAGTCAGTAGCATACAAAGCAAGATTTGACAACTAAACAGAATACTGTTCCCTCTGTATTTTGTCCCAAGTACAGATCGTGTGTGTGTGTGTGTGTGTGTGTGTGTGTGTGTGTGTGTGTGTGTGTGTGTGTGCAGTGCCCTCATAGGTCAGATGGGGGTGCTGGTGTTACAGGTGTTTCTGAACCACCCAACATGGATGTTGGGAACTAAACTCCTGTCTTCTGGAAGAGCAGCAAGTAGTCTAACCTACTACGCCATCAATCCAGCTCCTGTCCTTAGTATTTTACATACCTAATGTACAAAATCCTAATATAAAGCATATACAAGAAAAAACTGTTTAGAGATCATTTGATTTTCTATTCAAAAAATGTTTCATGTTTCAGAGTCTTTTATGTATCATTTAACTTGCACTTTGCATAAGGAATATATTGGCATATGAAAAATACTGCTTGTGTTTTTATTTTATGTGTGTGGGTGTTTTGCCTGCATGTATGTCTGTGCACCATGTGCCTTGGAGACCAGAAAAGGATGTCATATCCCCCTGAAACTAGAGTACAGACAGTTACCACCTGGCATGTGGGTACTGGGAACTGAACCTGTGTCCTCTGTGTCCATTAAGCCATTTCTCCACTACTAGTATTTTTAAAAACCACAACCCAACATTATTTTTCCCCCTTTTCTTCCTTTTTCTGGGACAGGGTCTTGTGTGCCTTCAGCTGGCTTTCAATTCTCGATCCTCCTGCCTCCCCTTAGGGTTTGGGACCCCATGTCCGGCTCCCACAGTGCTGGGGCTGGAACCTAGTGCTAGCAGAGCACTGTTAGCAGAGCTCCATCTCCATAAAGTGTCCTGATGGAATATGTCCATCAGGAAATATATTCCTGCCTTCATAGTTAACAGGCAAGCATCCAACATTTCAGCATAATAAAGACCTTTTTTTTTTTTTTAATGTCAATTAGGGTGGCCTCAAACTCACAGAGAATCTACCAGCCTGTCTCCCAAATGCTGGGATTAAAGGTGTATGGTCAAAACACCCAACTAATAAAGACCTTTCTGTATGTGCATTCTTTTATTTTTATTTACATTGATTTAAACAATGCAAAATAATTGAAGCTAATTATCCTTAAGGAGATGGCTTACTGTTGCCACAGAAACAAAGCAGTAATAGTTCATATATAAGTGACAGCAGAAGCATCTCTTGCTACTGTCCATGGGGGCCTGGTACCAACCCTGGAAACTTACCTATCAAGTGCACTCTCTCCACTAAGATTATATCGCACAGACACTGAATGTCATCTAAGGAACCATATTCTAAAGCACAATGGAAATGTGCATGTCCTACACAGATGATAAAATGTATCTTTTCACAGGAAAGGAGCCACTCATCCCTTGTTTACTTTCTGGTTCCTCAGAAAGAAGCAGTGGGGAAGCCAGGTGTGGTAGCTCAACTAATACAGCACTCGGAGTCTGAGGCAGAAGGATGACCACAGCCCTAAGGCTCGCTGGGCTCCAGAGTAAGCTTTATGCCAGCCTGGGCTAAAGAGTAAGGCTTGTTCACGTCTCCTCCTGGCCCCCTGACTAACAGAAAGAAGCAAAGTAGTGATTGAGGTATAATGCATGTACAATGGAGCTCCCAGGAAATCCTACAGACAGATGGTATAAAAGAGCTGTCAAAGGAAAAGCATAAGCCGGGCGGTGGTGGCGCACGCCTTTAGTCCCAGCACTCGGGAGGAGAGCCAGGCGGATCTCTGTGAGTTCGAGGCCAGCCTGGCCTACAGAGTGAGTTCCAGGACAGCAGGGCCACAAAGAGAAACCCTATGTCAAAAAACCAATAACAAAAACAATATTCACAGAAATATTCTGAAGAATAAAAATTCATTATTTTAAACCAAAATAAATTGTACATGGTATTTAATTTTGAGGTTCTTGGTTTTTGTGGTACTGGGGACTGAACCCAGGACCTCAAGCATAATAGGCAAGCATTCTACCACTGAGTTACATCCCTTTCCCCACCTCCACAGTATATAATTTTATGAGTTCAGTTTATTAGTAAACACAGAATCGCTAGAATGGCTTCCCTTTTAAAAAGGAACAGATGAATTAATGATTTTATCTCTAGAAACCACTTTTCTCCAACATAATATAAAATGAATGAATACCATTTACGTAAGTGAATAGGCAGGTTCAGGACTGCTCATGACTGTCAGACCAAAGATTTTTTCACTAATGTACCCAATGAACTGAAATGACATGAAAAGTTACAGATTTAGAACTAAGGTCTTTGCAGGTTTAATCCAATGAGGTCATGCTAGATCACGACTGAACCCTACATCCACTAATCTGGAGACTCTGTATTAAGGAAAGGGAGGCCTGGACGCTGACACAAAGAATGGGAAGTGATGGACATGAGGCAGGGAGAGTTGGCAAAGCCTCGAGTGAGGTTACCTGTGAAGCCAAGGAGAACCCTGCATGGCTGCCTCCTCAGAGCTGAGAGAGGACTCTTCCCTAGACCCTTCCAGGATGCAGGCCTTGTCAGCTCCTGAGTTCAGCCTCCAGAACAGAAGAATAAAGTACTGTTGTTTTCAGCCACTAAGTTTATATTTTGCTGTCAGCCTTAGAAAATATTAGTGTGTACATACTACACATAACAGACTTTAACCTGATTTTTAAAATGAAAGACACGCACTTTCCCTTAGGTTACATGGACCCAGCATATTGCAAAGAGAATGGGGGTAATTCTCCAGGATATTAATCAAAGTCGTTTATTTTGTTGGACCACTTTGTTAATATTCAGAATCTTGGTCATTATAATTAATCCTAACAATCCAGTCTAATTTTGTTTAATAAAGCAAACAAAGCTTCATATAGAAGAATCACGTTATGGGAGCAGATGGTTTCACGAGTGCAGAACGAAGTCTTTAATGTCTCGAGCTTGTCAACAGGTCTAAGGACTGACTGTCTAGTTTGGTGGAAATAATGTTTTGAATTTGAGTAGTATTAAATTAGTAAAACTTTAGGTCAGAAAGACAGCTCAGTGATTAAGTGTACACATTGTTCTTCCAGAGGACCCAAGTTTGATTCCTGACATCCACTCCAGGAGGTTCGCAACTCTCTGTGACTGCAGATCCAGGGGGTTTAAAATGCTAGCCTCTGAGGGCATCTGCACTCACAGCACGCACACAGACACACTCACACATACACATACGCATGATCAAAAATAAAAGCTTAATGAAAAAATTTTAATTGAAAAAATTTACTTTTTAATTGACAAGTAAAAATTGTATATATTTATGGTATACACCAAGGTGCTTGATAAAAATAAGATTTTTAACAATATGTACTTCCAAATATTTTTCTCAGGTGTAAATTCTTAGAATCTACTCACAGAAATTCTCAAAACTGACAACATTATTATTTGCTGTATTCACCATAATGTACACACACCCTCTCATATGTATGTATGTATGTATGTATGTATGTATGTATGTATTTTTCATTCTGATATAAGATCTTACTTTGTAGCTGAGGCTAGCCTCACATCTTTGTTCCAGGCCCTGGATCCTGAAGCATGTGCTACACTAGACTAAAATAGATCTCTTGAATTTATTCCTCCTGTCATGAGAAAAGACTCAATCCAGTGAGGAACTCACCCAAGCCCTCAGAGACAGGAGGACTATGTTAATGTGGGACTAGCCCTAGCTAACCCTTAAGGGGATCTGGTCCCAATCAGTTTCCCTCAGCTTTTAGAGTGGGCTATAATGTTGTCGTCTTACTATGCGTTCATCTAGAGGTGAAGCCACATTTTCTGAGTTCACAGAGGAATTGCAGTCGCGGTCACAATAAGCAAACAGGCCCTAAGCAGCTGGCCACCAAGGTCATTTTACTGGAGGAATGTGACAAAACTCTTCTGGTAAGAGAAGGGCTTAAAAGAGCGAGTTTATACAAGAGCAAAGCTCCAGCAAATTTCAATTCTAATGAGATCAGAAGTCCATTTCAAAGTCCATTTCATTTTCTTTGTCTTCTTCCATCATCCAGGCAGCACGTGTTAGTTAGTGAACTAACCAGAAGTTAGGCAAAGCCCCTTAGCTTAATCTCTCACATCTGTGTGCTTTAATACTTCCTGAGTGAGCTTATTAAATTCATTTTAATCATATTTCAATTAACCCTAATTCTTTCTTTCTTCATTTCTAACTGAAATTTTATATCTATTGACAAGTATCTTCCCAATGTCCCCGACCTCTAGGAACTACCAAATTACTCTGTTTCTGAGTCTGACAGTATTATGCTAATACCAGCACAATTTTACCCTATGAATTTGTAAAGTTTAAGGCATTCTATAAACATGTTCACATAAAATTTTAATTAAATTTCTTTTAAAATACAGCACAACACATTGATAGGAGTTCTAAGAAAATACTTACTTTTGCTCCTCATTTAACAAGCATTTAATGAATGATTTAAATGTCAAGTACTGTGCTAGGCATGAGAATTCAAAGGCATACGGCTTTGTTCTATTTCTCAAGGACCACACTCTCTGAAGATGAGGCAGACTCACTCTAGAAAGAGGTCTGAAGACAGTCAGGTTGGTGGACAGAGAAGCCCAGGGAACGAAGGGATGTTCTTAGGGAGCCGATTAAAAGTTAGAGAAGGAGGAATTCCGCCAGGCCAGTGGGACAAACAGGAAACCAATGCGGCCCTGCACTGAACCGGCAGAGCCAGGGCGGCTGAAGCTATGGGCAGGACTAACTCCTGAGATGAAATTAAGAGCTAGCAAGCAGCGAAGCTCAAGAATTCAGACTTCCTGTTGCAAGTGCCAGGGAACCAATTGTACCTTTCGATCTGAGAGTTCAAGGAAGTACAAAGACCATATAAGGAAGGGGCTATTGTGTCTATTCAAGTGATTTGAAGGTGATAACACTGTGAATGGACACATGTTGCTGAACACAGGTTCAATTCTGATGTTAAATCATGAGGTGAGGCCAGTAAGGGAGAGAAAAGAATCAAAGTTGGTGTCATGGATGGGATCCTAGCTGGCCAATAAAGACTGTGAATACAGAAGAAAATCAGAGATCTGGACAGGCAGGAAAGCGGGAAAAGTGGGGGAAACGTGTTAAGGACAATAAGAAACATCTCTAGTGATGAAAACACTTAAGTGTTTCTATGAAGTGTTAAAATTCAGTGTTTTAAGCTGATGGTGCTACCCAGGGAAATAAGCATTCTATAAAAAGGAAACCAGGACTCAAGAAAGTAAAGTGACTTTTCTCTAGCCACACAGTTTGCTGGCAGAAAGACTTCAATGTCTACAAGATCCCAAAACCCACCCAATATACAGATAAATTATGGTTAGTGTCCAACTGCTCCTCAAATCTTAGCATTTGGTACCTCCATCTGCCCTGATCTCATGCAATCAGTTCTGTCTCCAGAATTACCAAGTATAGATGGACATTTGGGAGTAACAACAATTCCCCAAAGAGAAAAAAATTAGAATACCAAGAATCTCCTGTGTATGGGGGTGGGTGGGGGGGTATCTTTTGGTTGACTGAACCTCAGAACCTCTCCTGTAGCTTCCCTAGGTGAACTACAAACATACTCCTGCATTACACAATCTTGCAAGGCTCTTGATAAGCTAGTGTGTACTCCTCGTTACTCCATTGACTTAGATTGTTTCCTGGAGCCAGCATCTCCAAACAGAACCGGAGCAGCTGGGACGACGGCTCAGAGACTAAAGGGCTTGTTGTGCAAGTGAGGACCTGAGGTCAGGTCTCCAGTGCTCACTGGCAGTCACACACTACACACCCGCCTTCAAGCCCAGAACTTGGAGGCGGAGGCGGAGGCGGAGGTGGAGGCGGAGGCAGGCAGATTTCTGTGAGTTTGTGACCAGCCTGGTGTATGTATTAAGTTCCAGGACAGCCAGAACTACAAAGAGACTCTGTCTCAAAAAAATAAAATAAAATAAACAAACAAACAAAAACCCATTGGTGGAGACAGGAGGACCTCTAAAAATAGCTGGCCAGCACTACTAGCTGGATTGGCACATTCTAGGTTCAATAATAGACATTGTCGGACACCTCCAAACACGGTGGTGGCTGAAGAAGACACCCAATGATGACTTCTGTCACACACACAAATAGGTACCACCTACTCACACGATATACAATAACACACCTTGAAAATTCTGCTCAGTGAAAATAAGCTGAACAGCACACCAACAAATACAAGCTGAAGTACAAGTGAGGCTGGCAAGGAGGCTTGACGGGTAGTCATTTGAAGTTGCATCACTAGGCCCCACGTGGTGGAAGGAGGGAACCAACTCTGCAAGTTGTCCTCTGGCCTCACACACACTGTGCGCATGTGTGTGCGTTTACGCATGTATACACGTGCAAAATAAATAAGAATACAAGCAGTGCATTCATGCTGAAAGAATCAGAGTGGAACAAAAGACAAGTCTGTGGGTCAGTCAGTTTCCTCCCTTCTGTGGACTGCCCGCATACTGTCCACTTTGCAATGGCATGTAAGTCATAATATGATTCAGGGCTACACGTTCCTAAATCAGTAGAAAAATGTTAAATCCTAAAGTCCTAAAGAATATTCTTAAAATTCCATTACCACAGCTATAATTTTTGGAAATCTTAATTATCTGTATAATGAAAATCATCCTTCCACCCCCCAAGACAGCAGGGTCTCACACTGTAGCCCAGTTTGGCCTAGAATTCTCTATATAGCCTTGCCTGGCCTCAAATTCATAGTAACCCACTTGCCTCAGTCTCTCAAATGCAGGTACTGGAGGTTTGATTCACTATACCCAGATTCTTTTAAATAGCATTCTTTTTTTAAAAAGTCATTTCTTTAGTGTGTATGTGTGTGTGTGTGTGCACTTGCGTGTGCGTGTGTGGAGCTAGGTCAGAGGATAGCTTGCAGACGTCAGGTCTCTCCTTCCGCCATGTGGGTCCCAGGAGTCAACTCAAGTCATTAGGCTTGGTGGCAAGCACAATCTCACTGGCCTTTCTGAGTGTTTTGAGATAAAGCCCACAGCTGCCTGAACTCACAACAGCCTCAAGTGCTGGACTTACAGGTAAGAGCAACTATAACCAACTAATTCTTTTCATTAAAAAGCTACTTTGAATTATGTGTGTGTGTTTGCGTGCCTGTGAGTATATGCTATGTGTGTGCGTGTACCCAGAGAGGCCAGCGAAGGCACTGGCTCTCCCTGAAGCTGTAGTTACAGGTGGCTTGTTAGCTGCCCAGTGTGGGTGCTAAAAACTAAAGCCAGGTCCTCTAGAAGAGAGGCAAACGCTAAAGTACCTCTCTGTCTCTTAAGTCTCTGTGCTCGCATGCATGCCTGTGTGGATGTGTGCACATGAGTGCCTGTGTGCACATGCGTGCCTGTGTGGACATGTGCACATGCGTGCCTGTGTGGACGTGTGCACATGAGTGCCTGTGTGGACATGTGCACATGCGTGCCTGTGTGGACGTGTGCACATGGGTGCCTGTGTGGACATGTGCACATGAGTGCCTGTGTGGACATGTGCACATGCGTGCCTGTGTGGACGTGTGCACATGCACAGGCACTCATGTACATGGAGGTCAGGGACCACTTGGTGGCACTGGTTCTCTCTTCCCACCTTTCTGGGAGCTCCTGGGATTGAACTCAACTTGCCAGGCTGTGTGGCAAGTGCCAGCCACGGTTTCATCTTGCTAGCCCTTCATTTTTCTTATTAAGCTGCTCAGATTTTATAGCCTTTCAAAATCTCATCAAAGCCTCTTGCTTTTATTTATAAAGTAATAAACTTTACAGTTTTATGTGGCTACTTAATCCTTTAGAATTGCACTACTTCATAGTATTTTAACTATGATCAATTGGAGAATTTTTGCTAGTGTACAAATTCACTGCTTCTAAAATAACAACAGTGAGTTTAACAGCTATAACTGCAAAGCGAACTGTGAAAATCCACTGAACTAAGCCCTACGTTAGCCTTATTTTCATATGGGTCTCTGATGAGAGCCCTGCGGCTACTGAGGTCCTCAAATGGAGACCTGGATGCAGACACACATGATTGTTTTCAAATAATCACCCATCTAAGCAAAACGGCCACGTGATTAAAAATAAAATGACAGCTGCTTTACAGTTCAGCAGCAAAGTCAGAAAAAACGTGTTATTCTTCTGCGGATTTACTTAAAATTGCTTCTCAGCTGGACGAAGAAAATGAATATACACTAGTGTATGTGGATGCTCACATAATAATAAATGAAGTGGGGAAAAAAAAAAAGGAAAGGCCCGGATGCTTTGTAAACGCCGTGAGGACTTCTTACCTTCAGAAGTTCAAAGTAGTGCAGGCAGTGGTACACGGGGGCCAGCAGCAGCCGTGGCAGGACGTACTGAACAGCCTCCTTGAAGCCTTCGCCTATGGACTGCAAGAGAAGTGATTTCACTTCGTTTAAAGAGCTTACTTTTCTGACATTGTGAAATCTGATTTGATAATCACTCTACCTGCAAATAAAGCGCTGCCCCAGGCTTTGACAGCTGACTCAGGAAACGGTCGTGGAATCCAGGCCGTAAAATATCCCGAGCGTATGATTCATACGGGTCAAATGCTAGTTCCTTAAAAAATCAGAACAGTAAAAAGGATAATCAGAAATAATCTTTCTCCAAGGTAAACTATGACTCACCACCCAAAATATAAAAGATTAAATTAGGAACATATCTACACAAAATTAAGAACATATATACACAAACATTTCTTTTAAAGACTCCAAATGAAAATTGAATGATTAGCATAATTTTAATAGAATAAATCTAATATTCTCAAGTAAAAGAATACATTAGTTCTTTCTTCTAAGTAATAGGATCAATGTACACTAAGATACTTCTCTGTCAAGGTTTCCAGGAGAACTCAAAAGTTGTCCTAAGAGAGGGCAGACCTGGTTCTAGAAAACAGCATGACTTCACTTGAACAACAACAATAGATGTGTCTGACTAAGTAAGACATGGGTATTTAGAATACTGATGCCAGGTATTATTGCTCAGATTTAAAGGTGATGGGCTGGAGAAACGGCTCGGCAGCTCAGACCACCTGTGGCTCTTGCAGAGGTCCAGGCACCCTCACAGTGGCTCACAACCACCCATTACTCCAGTTCCAGGAGATCCGGTGCCTTCTCCTGGCTTCTGGGGGCCCCAGGGACACATACACACACATACATGTAGGCAAAATACATAAAATAAATAAACCTAAAAAAAACTTTTTGGTGTTGGATGTTTACTTTCCTTTTTTTGTAAATCAGAAGTAACAGTTTTTATCATTTAAAATTCTGTTGCCGTTTTCATAAAACTAACAATCCAAACTGGGAAAAAAAAAATGTCATCAGTATTAACAGGACCAGTCATCAATAAGTGAAGGTCTCCTAGCTAGGTCTAAAAGAGCACTGATGAGTGCTGAGGAAACAGTAGGTATAATGATTTTAGCAAGAGGAACAGGACGATCCCCATCTTCAATCCTGTGCTTTAGGAGGGACAGAGTCAGCTCCGTGTGTAAAGATGCCTGTCAGCAAGCCTGGTGACCTTAGTTCAGTCCCTGGGACCCACAGTGTGGAAGGGCACAACCAACTTACGCAGACTGTCCTCTGACCTCTACTACACGTGAAACACACAGAGCTTCAGATCCTAACAGGTGTTCGTTTCTACAAAAGCTAAGTCCACAAGACACAAGTGGAAGGATACAGTAGGCAAGAAAGAGTAAGACAAGTGGTTTTTATGTATTAATTAATTAATTCCCTTAGTGTTGTTTTTCAACTACTTCTTAAGACTTAACAGAACACCAGGTCTGAGAACACTTCAGACTGGAGCTCTGGTCACCGTGAGGTGCGATGGAGCAGGTAACGCGTCAAGAAGCCCTTGTGCTTCCTGACATCTTCGTTCAACTCCTCATTTTTTAATTATGAATTTGCTGTCTCTACTGATTAATGCCAAGACTCTGCAATTCCATTCTGTTCCACTGTGTGTCTACACTGGTAGCAACACTATACTCTGATATTACTATTTAATACATCTTAATTTGTGATAGAGCGAGTCTCCTCAGTCTGCTGCTCCTCTAAATTGGTCTTGTCTCTTTTCTTCTGGCATGGAGGTGGGTGAGAGATTCGAGACAGGATCTCCCTGTGTAGCCAGCACAGACTACCCTAGAACTTGCCGCACAACCCAGGTTCATTCTCAGACATTAAAGATCAACTTGCTGTACACTGGCTACTAACATGAATGTAATAGTGACTTTTTTCCATCCACAAACACAGCACACTATATATTCCTGTCTACTCATACATCCGGGATGAACCTAAATATGTCACGACCTTTAGTTCGGCTTTTATAATAGTAAGTTGTTATTATTATCATTATCATTGTGTACATGTATGCATGTACAGGTGTGTGCAGATCAGAGGACTTACTCTAGGGGTCAGTTCTCTTTGTACCACAGTTCTAGGGACTGAGCTCTAGGACTGAAACTCACCCAGACCAAGCTCAGGCTGTGAAGCCTGCAGCGTGTTTTATAGGCAGAGCTGTTCTTTTTCTTCTGAGATCTTCTAACACATGGCGGCGGCTCTGCCTTTGATGCTCTACATTCCAACGGCTGGGACAGCACGGAAGTGCTATCTATCGTTCCTAAGCCACCACAGGGGACCTACCTAGTTTTTAATACAGTTTTCTGTATTTGCTAAATATTGACTACAAATGAGGACAACCCTTTTTGTTATTGTTGTTGTTTTTTGAGACAGGGTTTCTCTGTATAGCCCTCCCTGGCTGTCCAGGAACTCACTCTGTAGACCAGGCTGGCCTTGAACTCAGAGATTGGCCTGCTTCTGCCTCCCAGGTGCTTCCACCACTGCCGGGCAGACAACTCTCTTATTCTGTTCCTCTTCTGTCATTTTGTACTAGGCAGGTCTCTAGCATTCTTTTCCAGTTCTGAATTTTCCTGGAGGTTCCTACCCACCTCATTGTTTTTGTCTGTCTCTTTTCTGAAACAGAATTCTGAGTTGGTTAGTTTTCTGTCAGCTTGACCCAAGACTGAGTCATATAAGAAGAGGGAACCTCAAGTGAGAAAAATACCCACAACTGATTGGCCTGGACTGATGACTGATGTGGAAGGGCCGGGTCCACTGTGGGTGGTGCCATCCCTGTCATATGGTTCTGGGTTCTATAAAAGCAAGCTGAGCAGGCCAGTAAGCAGCTGCCCTCTGGAGTCTTCTAGTGCCTGCCTCCACTTCCCCTGATGATACACTGCAATCTGTAAGCCAAACAAACCTTTTTCTCAAGTAGCTTTTGGTCATGGTGTTTTATCACAGCAATAGGAAACAAACTAAGACGTCTCATACAGCTTTAGCCTGGCACCCAACATGCTGTAGCTGAGAATGACATGGACCTTCCAATACTCCTGCATCCACCTCCCATTGCTGAGACTAAAGGGTTGCAAGGTGCGCACCACCATACCCCGTTGATATGGCCCTGAGGACTGAAGAGGTCTCCGTGTATGCTAGGGAGCCCTTACCAACAAAGCTACATCCCCAGCTCCTCTCCCTCCTGTCTCTCTCACAAGCTCAGTACTGTTGTTGGTTTACTATGTAAGGAAAATAGCCAATATTGAAGGGAGGTTATGTTAATTTTCACAAAAAATCTTGAGTCCTGTTGTTGTTATTATCCTTATTTACAAATGTATAGAGAGAAGGAAAATGTTAGGAGCTTGCCTGGGGCCACACAAGCAGTAGCTAGCAGTGCCCAAGCAGGAAACCATGAGTAGTGAGACGGACCCTCAGCCAAGCTTTGACGCACAGTGAGACATGGGGATTGGCTGCAGTGTTACTCATGTGTGAACCTGGGAAAGACAACTTTTCCTGTGTTTGATAACAATCAATGTTGACAATGACTCTATGAGAAAGGAGCAATAATGCAAAAATAAGTGAATGACCTGTGACTTGAGCTGGAGTTGGAATTATGAGCCCATGTTAATGTAAATGTGGACTTAGAAACAGACTTCTTTTGCTCTATCGTATTACTTACCTCTGCTAAGTCTTCAAAACAGCTTCCTACTAACGGGTGGGGACTGCCTTCGTCTGTCATTTCTACTGTATCTTCTATATAGCCCAGTAACTTCACACTAAGTTCATGTATATCTACTATACGACTAAATATGTTTTCTACATCCTGTGGAGTAAAGGGGAAGAAATACTCAGTCATATTGTATAATAAGATATCTTTTTAGTAAATCAAATCATTTTATAATCAAAGTTTAATATATTGAGGAATTTTAATGACTGACAATAAAAAACACTTCAAAATTCCTTTTTTCGTGATATACAATTAAGAAATGCATGCCTCTGTTAATCCTTTTATTTTAGAACATCTTCATATTCTACAAGTCCTCAACACAGTTTACCAGAGAACAGCAGGGTCTTGTTGTCTGTGTCTACATTAAATCTGTTGTGATATTTTGATTGAAGTACATGAAGAAAACTATACTTTATCCAGACACAGAATTTTATCCAGACACGTAATGGAAAAAAATGAAGGAATATTTTAATAATCTACTCAACAAAACTGTGATACTCTTTTTGTCTTCTGTGTAATTTTTCTATTAAGAGTTGATTAACATATCACAGAATAACTGGTATTCTCAGAGTGAGGATGCTGAGGGTAATGTGGATGGGACTTCAAGACATTGTCTAAGGCAAGAAAGTATCTTATATCTTGACAATGACAGGGTTAAATTACGGAGAAATAAATGTGTAAGATCTCACCAAAAAGAATATTTTAAGTATGTATAAAATTCCTATGTGTGGACCATTTAAGTACACTATAAAATGTACTTACAGAATGTACACTCAGTGGTTTCGGAATACTAAGTCGTCACCACAAAACAAACTCCTTACCAAGAAGAGCCCCGCTGTTTTATTTACAGTCTCTGCAAGCACAGCTCTCCTTTCTGCCTGTGCACAGCTGCCTGCTCTAGACAGTCCATGTAAACAGATGAAATGTATTACACCGGCGTTAGTAAACCAACCGGTCATTTCATACAGGTTGGTTGCAATGTATATAATTTTACACTGTTCTGTTAACATCTATTGATTACTATCTTACAGTGATTTTTATTTCTGTCAAATTAATTTTGAGAAATGGTTTGTATGCGATAAGAGATGCCTACTTTAGATGTATTTTTGCTGAGATTGTATGTGGTTATTCCTCTTTGTGATCTCATCATTGTCACTGTCCACATCTTTTTGTCTTAAAAAGTTTCCTCATGGGGCTGGAGATGGCTCAGCAGTTAAGAGCACTGGCTGCTCTTTCAGAGGGTTCGATTCCCAGAACCCACAGGGCAGCTCATAATCATCTACAACTCCAGTCCCAGGAGATCTAATGCCCTCTTCTGGCCATCACAGAAAAACAATCACATATAAAATAAAATCAAAACATATTTTTAAACAGTTCTCTTATGTCTTATCTGCATTAAATCCCACCATCCTCATTGCCAGAAAATGAGTGTTCTCCTTCCTGTTACAAGACAGTTATATTTTCCAGAACATGTGGAAATCTGTCTTGTGTGTCCAGCTTCTCTGCCTGTCCTCGAGATTCAGCTACTTGGATGTATGTACAAGTACTTCATTCTTTACTCTGAGTAGCTGTCCACTCTCTGGCGAAATCACAATCTCCCCATGTCTTCACTTTTGATACGCACTAAATTATTTACAGTTTTGAGCTATTACAAATAAAGCTGCTATTCTGTATGGACTTGTTTTTGGGTCTTCTAAGCAAAAAACTAACAGAATTGTCAGAAAATGTAGCAGTGTGTTACAGAAAGCCAATTCTAAAATATTACCAATTTATATCTCACAAGTAACATGGAAATTTTACAAACCCATAATCAGTCACTCCACATTCTTCTCAGTATCTGATAACCTTTTTTAAGTCTTTTTAATAAGTGTGTGGCAATATCTCACTACGCTTTGATTTGTATTTCTCTGATAATTAATGATACTGAACACCATTCAGCAAGTTTTGGTTGTTGATTTTATCTAAGATATCCTTGTCTCTCCTTTACTCGTTTTTTGAAAGTAAATTTAATGAAACAATTTAAATACCATGCATATCCTACATTTACACTAACTCAATAAACAGTGCTTATCATATTTATAAACTTATAGCATCTAATTCTTTATTTAATTGTTGTAGTAGTGGAACTGAACCCAGAGCCTAAACACACATTAGACAAGAGCTTGGCCACTGGGCTGTCCCCTCAGCTCCTGCTCCTTTACTGACAGTCACTCACTGCTGTAACTGGAGCTCCAGAACCCACTCCTGTGGAGGGAGCACTGTTCCCATCAGTCACCAGGCTCTGTGGCCACGGTTTAGAAATCACTGAACATTCTCTCGGTTAGTGAGATTAGTATGGACACCATCAAGAACAGTCTCTCATCCAAATTCCAGTTCCTTCATGCCCCCAATAATACCACTGCACTGTTACAGTTCTATTACGATGCTCATCACATTTGAATGCACTTTACGTTTACAGCTTTGCCCTCACTAATTAGAGGACTGTTTCTTACTCATCTAAATATGGTGTCCAACAATACAGCTGCTGTTGATAAGTATCAGTTAAATGACTGCAATGAGTCAATTGAATCAAAAATATCTTCCACCTAAACAAGAGGCTTTCTTCCTTGAAATAAATGGATTATTATGTGATTTCTTTTCACTTACATAATTAGTCTATTTTAGATTTCATCTTTCAATTTCTGATGTTTTAGACTCTTGAAACTGCTGTAGCACTTTATTGTGATCATCAATTTAAGTCCCACAACTTTAAAAAAAACTGTCAAATTAGAAGTCATGAATTATGTAAGTTCAAATTTGAAGTGAAACTTAACAACACATGCAAAAACAGCATAAAATATACTTACATAAGATGAAAACAATTTGGAATTAGAGACAAAGGGTTCTCGAAAAACTTTTATAATTAGATTTAATTCTCTTATATACTGTCGAATTTCTGCCATGAATGCTTTTACCAAATCATAGTAAGTTTGTTCTCCTGAGGTGGAAGGCTCTTCATCAGTTAAAGATAAGATATTTATGTCTTCTACATCTTGATGAAACATATCCATCAATACCTATGTAGTCAGAGATATAAAACAAAAGTGTAAAATAATAATCTAGTCTAATTTGAAGGTAAATGCCCTAGAAATTCTTTCTTTCATGAAGAGGGCATACACATACCAAAATGTGTGTGTGTGGAAATCAGAGGACAAACTGTCCCTAAGAATCTTTGAATTGGGCTGGAGAGAAGAGATGGCTCAGTGGTTAAGAACAGTTGGTGCTCTTCCAGAGGACCTGGGCTCCATTCCCAGCTCCCATGGTGGCTCACAATCTTTAACTCCAGTGCCAGGGGATCTGATGCCCTCTTCTGGCCTCCATGGAGACCAGGCATGAGCATGGTGACAGACATTCACTCAGGTAAAGCACCCACATACATTAAAGAAGTTCACAGTCACTGCTGTTGTAACTCATCCTTCCCGTTCCTGTGGACTTCTGAAGTGTAACTACAATATACTTCACCTTAGGCTACAATGTAAGTCACCTTTCAACAACACTGGCGCCTTGTCGGGATTTTTAATGTTTTTAAACTTTAGAGGCATGGTCTCATATGACCGAAGCTAGCCACAAGCTCACTATGCAGCCACGGTTAGCATCAGTGTCTGATCCTTCTGCCTCCACATCCGAGTGCTGAGATGATGAGCTTGCACACCGTGTGCAGTTCACGCAGTACTGGAATCAAACCCAGGGCCTTACACATTCTAGGCAAGCACTCTTCAAATTAAACTACCTCTCAGCCCCTTTTAACATGTTTTTCTGTATCTCATTTCTGGGAGAGTAAATAATAAATACACATCAATATTTTACTTATATGGTTCATAACAGTGGCAAGCAGGAGGGCTGGAGAGATGGCTCAGTGGTTAAGAAGAACACAGACTTCACTTTCAGTTCCCAGCTGCCATGTCAGGCATTTCTGAACTGCCTGTGGCTTCAGGTCCAGGGGATCTGACGCCGTCTGGCTCCTCGAGGCCCTGCACGTGCACTGTATACATCACCTCATGTAAGAGCGCGCGCACATGCGCGCGTGCACACACACACATATTTAAAACCAAGTAGCAAACATTTTATATTCCAGTTTCAAATTTGTAATCATAAAAACCAAGTACTTATCCATTTAAAATATCAAAACACTTGTAATTCTACAGACCAGGTCATTCATTTCACTCTAGATCATTCTAGAAGAACAAACACTAAAACATGAGTGGACTTGGTAATAAGAATGTACGAGTGTGAAGTAAGTGCAATAGAGTGCCATCAGAAAATACCTTCTTTCCTGGGAAGGCACCTGGGGTGTCGACTTTCCTACCTTATCCTATACAACCTGGATGCATGCTCTTAGAGTACTAGAAATACTCCCCAACACAAAGTGCAGTACACACTCTACTCCTTCCGAAGAGCGTGCTAGCATCTAATAAACCATACATAAAGTTGAAGGATAAGGCACCGAGGCACCTACCTTATCAGCACACATGGCCACTTTAATGTCCTGTTTGGTGATTTCATAATGCCGTATATTTCTTACGTAATTCCCCACAAGCTTTAAAATATCTGCAGAAATATATTCTAATACTGCTACTATGTAAACAGAAACCTGGTGGTCAATTTTATAACCTAGAACCTCCTGAAAAAACGAAAAGGAAAGCATGTTTAAGCATCATATACAGTAAACTTAACATACTGATTAAAAAATAAAAAAATATACAACTTGGCTTAACTTTCACTGAAGCTTGTCATTACCTACATTTAACAATGTAAGTTTCACTGGTGTAGTCATTAGAAATGTAGATGCATGCCTATCTATACACACAGAGAACTGAAAAAAAGCAAGCTAAGAAAAGGAAGAGCTGACCCTGTCATGTACACGAGCAATCCATGTCACTGAGCAGGAAAGTCTTAAGACTGGAGTCAGGAGCACATGGTCTCTGTCACCAAGCAGGAATGAATGGGAAAACTACACAAAACCTTTCTTACCAAACAAGTGTCTGTAACATTGGCATTCAGGAATAGCTATTAGTCTTATATCTCAATACTTTCCCAAGAAACCTAGGCTCCCCAAGGAGCCTTATGGCACATTCTTGGCTTTCTATGAAAAAAAAAAAATCATGCAATGTGCTACTGAGCATATTAAATAGTCCTATTATTAGACTTCATAGAGAGTATGTTCTTTTTGTGGGACTAAAAGTTCCTAAAGGAAGAAGAATTCTAAACGAGAGGAGAAAATAAAAGTCAGCCAGGCAGAACAATGCAGGTCTTTAATCCCAGCACTTGTGAGGCAGAGGTTGTGGTGATATATTATATACCCTAATAAACTTGCCTGAGGATCAGAGGACAGAGTCAGCCACTAGATTAGACATAGAGGTCAGGCAGTGGTGGCACACACCTTTAATCCCAGCACTTGAGATCTCATGCCTTTGCTTGGGAAAGCACACACACGCCTTTAATCCAGGAAGTAATATGGCAGGGCAGAGAAAGGTATGTAAGGTGCGAGGAAACAGGAACGCACTCTCTTTAGGCTAAGGATCTCATAGAGGTAAGAACTAGTGGCTGGCTGCTCTGCTTCTCTGGTCTTTCATCTTTCACCCCAATATCTGGTTCTGGGTTTTTTATTAAAGACCATCTAAGATCCGAACAACAAGAGGCAGGAAGATCACAAATCTCAGACTAAGGCCATCGTGGGCAATCAAGGCGCTGGGGTGGGGGAGGGTGGGAGGCGGTGATGACAGAAAAACTTTTACTAAGGTTTTAAATATTTTAATGAGGTAGTTAAAATGTGTTAATTTGTCACAGTAAGAAACAAAACTGGCACGATGAGGATTCTTGGCATTTTCTGTTAGTTCTTGGGAGATTAAAGCTATTGACTTAAATGTAGGTAGTAATCTTGGGGGAACTTGTGTTCCCCAACAACGCAGACCCCGCTGCGGTCTCACTGCAGTTCCTACACAAAATGCTAACAGATTTTAAAAGCTTTACGGGAGACAAGGTCTGACTAGCAAGACAGAAACTTTATAACCTCTGGGGTAAATAAAATCCACAATACAACTTTTCCAAATGTCTTCAATTTGTTTATTACTATTGGTATGAAGTTACATTAAACCATGTTGCCCTACCTATATTTATTATCACAGTACCCCTTCCCACAACATGAGTTCCTGGAAAACTTCTAAGGGTTTTACTGTTCAGTTATGTTGCCATTCAAAAGCAAGACAGCAGGATTTCAGCTTACCCTTAACAGATGATGAATTCTTTCTGCTGGCAGAGACAAAGGGTTTCTCCTCTTCCTCTTTTCTATAGCTGACTGGGCATCGGCTATTGCCCACTTATCAATTGGATGAGGGAAACTTTTCTGAACACGTTCCTTAGAAAATAAGAAAATAACAACTAAATAACAAATAAATGAAAGAGTTCATCACGTAATTTACACTGTAAACATAATTTTAAAAATCCTGTGGTTCCAAAAAAAAAAAAAAAAACTAAAGTTGAGCAGTGGTGCCTTGAAAAACCAAAATAAATAAATAAAAGATCCTGTGGTTGTCAATGTATTTGTTTAATTAGGTGACTGAGGGATTAGATATACTTTAATTACCTGGGAAATTACACCCTGAATTCCACCTTCACTAATGCTGATAGCAAGACTGATACGTCACTTTAAACATTACTCTCACAGTTTCAAGGAAGGAGACCTACACTTATTTAGCAAACACAACTCCAAAAATTTTTTTTAGGGGGAGGGGTGTTGCGAGACAGTGTTTCTCTGTGTATCCCTGGCTGTCCTGGAACTTGCTTGCTCTGTAGACCAGGCTGACCTCAAAAACTCAGAAAACGCCTACCTCCGAGTGCTGGAATTAAAGGCAGGTACCATCACTACCGCCTCAATAAATTCTCATTTATTTGCATCCTTATTTTAATCCCAATTATAAATTCCAGTAGCATTTTCAATTAAAAACCCAGAGTTTTTTTTTTCTTCAACCATCACGTGAGATTATTTTCTCTCAAAACTATCTACAAGTCATGAAACTCAGTGGTCTGTACCGGTAACAGTAAAGCATGGTTCCATTTTTTAGGAAACTACTTCAAATCTAACATCTAGAAGGTCTATGGTTAAAATATGATTGAAACTTAGAGAATGGCCTGTTATAATAGCTAAATCCCCTACTTTAAGGTAGTTTACTATTAGCAAAAAGCGCTTCCTTCAGGTATCAAAAACCCATTTGTAGTACACCTCAATTAGAGCCAGTAGGGGTCAGTATTACAAAACCTTTAACAAATTCTCAGGAAAACTAGATGAAACTGAACACTGCCCCTGAAAACAAACCTGAATGGAAGTTTGAGCAGTAAATACAGAGCCACAGACACCCTAGAGCTAGGTGTGGGGAGGCGCACAATGCATTTAGGGCACCCTAGGAGATGTGGTCATCTAACCTCTCTTCATCCTATAGTCTAGGCTGTTCAGGCGCCGGTCTTTAAAACTGCATGTTTTAAATACATTAGAAGTAGAGTTTAGCCGGGCGGTGGTTGTGCACGCCTTTAATCCCAGCACTCGGGAGGCAGAGCCAGGCGGATCTCTGTGAGTTCGAGGCCAGCCTGGTCTACCGAGTGAGTTCCAG